AAAAAAAAAAGAAGAGAAGGATGTCCTATGCCTATGAGAACCTCAGGGGCTGGCAAGATAGCTTAGTGGACTAAGCACCAGCTTAGGCAAGCACAGGGACTGGGGTTTGATCCCAGGCGCTACTTATAGCACCAGCCCCACTCCTAGACACACTGAGCTGGCCATGGAGATGGGGCGTGGTGGTGCACATTTGTAATCCCAGCACTGGGGAGGCTGAAAACAGGAGGATCACTATGAGTCCAGGCTGCGTAGCAAGACCCTGTACCAAATACATTAAAAAAACAAACAAACTTCAGAGAAAGTATTACTAGAAGCAGAAATGGAAAAGTAAAAACAGTTTACTATATTAGATCAGAAAAATGGGAGGTTTCCTATTGTGGCAAAATGTATATGACAGGCCAGGTGTGGTGGCACACACCTATAATCCCAGCACTTGGGAAGCTGTGGCAGGAAGATGGTCATGAGTTCAAGGCCAGCCTGGGCTACATAGTGAGACCCTGTCTCAAAAAAATAAAAGTATATGGAATATTTCTTATTTTAACCATTCATAAGAACACAATTCAGTGATATTAAATACATTCACACTGGCATCAAGTATGAAAAGGTCCTTTAAAGACTTCTCCAAATACAGCTTCCCTAACAGCAATGGAACACTCATCTCTGACAAAACAAAACAAAAAAGGGGGAGATAAATGACCATTTTGTTGTGAAAAAAATATGTATATACCACATAGTCAGGATAGATATACAGCTACTTTCTCTTAGTTTAACGACAAGAAAGGTTTGTAGTAATGTTGTTTAGACACGATACCATGTCTGCATCTTGTCCTCTGAATAACTACGAAGACAACAATATGCAATGTATTAATTATTGTAACTGTCCTACTAAACTGTTCTGAAACTGTTTAATTGCTATTTTCTATCTTTTCTCATTAAAATGAATAAAAAACATTCACAATATTATGTCATCATCAGCATTATCTGTAGTCAAAAATTATTTATTTATTTATTTATTTATTTATTTATTTATTTTTGTCTTTTTAAGATAGGCTCTTGCTATGCAGTTCATGCTGACCTTGAGCTCATCATTTCATAGTCCAGCCTGGCCTTGAACTCGCAGAGATCCTCTTGCCTGGGCCTCCTGAGTGCTGGGATTATAGGTGTGCACTACCATGCCCTGCCTGTAGTGAAAACTTTTAAAATCCCTGTTAAAAACTCCATTACCAGTTCGACAATAAGTTCCTTACCCCCTTCCACCAGCCTGAGGCAGTCACTCTCTGAGGATGTGACTATTCTCGATGCCTCAGACAAGTGGCGTCACAGAGCATTTGTGCTTCTGTGACTGGCTTAGTTCACTTAGCATACTGTCTTCCAGGTTCATCCATGTTACAGCATATGTTAGAGTTTCTTTCAATGACTAATGTTCTATCATATGAGCACATCACATTTGAGTTACCCACTCATTCATAGGTGGACCCTTGGGTTGTCTCCACCCCACGGTCATTGTGGATCACACTGCTATAAATGTGGGTGTGTAAGTATCTGCTTTCAGTTCTTTGGGTTATACCTTGCACTAGAATTGCTGGGTCGCAGGGTACCTCCAACCTTTTGAGAAACTGCCACACTGTTTTCTATAGAACTTGTGCTATTTTACATTCTCATCAGTGTCTTGGTTACTTTTCTCTCATTGCTGAGACAAATACCAGACACCCCAAATTAATGAAGGAAAGGTTTATTTAGCTCACAGTTTGTGGAGGTTTCATTCCATAATCAGCTGGACTTAAGTCAGAGTGATGTGGCACATGGTAACACGTCAAGGTGGAAGATGACACCAAAAGCAAAAAGAGAAAAGGGGGAGGAGAACCAAGCCTTTTTCTTCCCTTATATTGTAAGCAGGCTACCCCACTTTGCCAGTTGGGTGTAGCACTCACAGTTTCCATGCCCTCCCATCTTGTACAGGATGAGGATGTTTACAAAGGATGCTGGCTCCCTGCTGAGTTGCTTAGTCAAACTTCTAAACTTCTTAAGCTGACAGGATGTATCAACCATTACAACCCACCCCTTGACAACTTGGGAACCAGATGTATTTTTAAAAACTGATGTCCAGGTACAAAGACATGCTAATTTGTGTCATTTTACAACTTGAACATTATAACACAGGTTCAACAATCCTTAAGAACCAACAGTAGGGCTGGGGAGATGGCTCAGTAGAATAAGTGCTTCCTTGGCAAATACAAGGGCCTGAGTTCAATCCCTGGTTCCACCATAAAAAAAAAAAAAGAGCCAACATTATATTTACATTAGAACCATAACATTCTGCACCTGCCTCCCCAAAGACTCATGCAAATGCCCCTTATACAAAAGGCATTTAGTCCATCTGCAAGAGTTACCTAAGTCCTAACAGTCTCAGTATTGCTGAAAAGTCCAAGCCCCAAGTCTCCTGTAAGGGGCCGGGGAGATGGCTCAGTAGAATAAACACTTCCTTGGCAAGCGCAAGGGCCTGAGTTTGATTCCCAGTTCCGCAAAAACAACAAACAAACAAAAGCCCAACCAAGTCTCCTCTAAGATGTAAGGCAAACTCTTAGTTCCAAGCCCCTGTACAAATAAAAAGTTAGACATATCCAATGTTCAGTGGCACAAAGTAAACATTTTCATTCCAAAAGTATGCAAAGGATTGGGACAAAAGCAAGTCCAAAATCCAGGAAGGTAAACATTAAGTCCTGTAGTTCCATGCCTGGCATCTGAAGCAATCTGTGACAAGTTGTGAGCTCCCAGGGGCTTGTGTGGCTCTGCTGGTTACAGCTCCCACAGCTTTTCTCTTAGGCCTGCTTTGCTCCCTCCTTGCAGCTTTCCTTAGATGATCCACATTCCTGGCTTTTCAAACTTCTGGGTCTCCACTGCATCTTGGCTCCTTACTCAAAGCTTTACACGTGGCCCTCTCAAGGGCACACTGCCTTGTCTTCCAGGCCTTCTGAAATTGGGTGGAAGCCTTTTTAACCCCATAACCCTACCTTGCATTCTGCATGTGTCTTAAAGCCAGCACCATGTAGATGATGCTAAAGTCTGCTGCAATCTGGAGCAGTAGCCAGGATTCCCTCTCTCTTGGCTGTAGGGATTGAGC